CGTCTTATGGTTCAACAAATACTAATATCAATAATACGTATAATTATGATGCAACTGCTTTTCCAGTACTTCCTCGTCCACAACAACCATCACCATATTCGATTACTAATAATTCAATGATAAATAAAATAGATGAATTAATTAGTTCTGTACGTAAAGTAAATGATACATTAGAAAAATTTTCGAAGAAAAACGATGAATTTGAATTATTTATGAACAATAAAATTAAAAATGATGAAATATTATCTACGAAAATTGATCATTTAATAGAAAATGATGTAGAATTTAAGAAAAATATTATTCAACATGAAATTAAAATTACACGACACGAAAATATATTTATAAAATTAATTTTACCAATGATGGATGAAATCAGTAAATATTTATCAATAATCAATATTGACAAGAAAGGTGGTACATTAGATGCTGATTTTCAAGTTACAATAAACAGAATGCGTGTACAATTGGAAAACGTAACTCAAAATAAAAACTTCTAATGTCACTTTCTCCATATGCAGTTCCTTTTTTCGACCCCTGTACCCCAAAAATGACTTCTTTTGAGAGAGAACTCTTCATTCGTAAAGCACAGGTGAACCTATCGTATTTTGACTTTTCTCTTTGGTCTGAAATCTTATTTGAATGGGAAAGTTCTCCTACACTTACTGCTTGTCTAAAAGGTTGGGAGCCATATAGAGTCATTGATACGTCTTCAATTATTAATTCTCTTCATATTCTATCATATAACGTTCGAGGTCTTGATTTGCGTTATCAGGAAGTATTACTTCTATCTAACTCATTTAAATTCGATATTTTGATTTTACTAGAAACAGGCTTTTTTGATTTTTCACACTGCAGACAGGTTTTTTCTAAATATAAAGTCTACTATCAGAGAGGTGAAAATGCGCATGGTGGTGTTGTTATGTTAGTACGAACTGATTTAAAAGCAGAAAGAGTTGTTTGTGATTTACCGAACGTATGTGTAACTGATATTCTAGAAGAAAATGATAAAATCAGAATTGTAGGAGTTTATGCACCGGAGAGCAAAACATGGAAGTGGGAGGACCTATCACCTCTAGTTTCGAGTAAATGCGTTTTTTATGGTGATTTTAACGTAGATGTAGAAGAGGATCTGCTTAAGGCTGAGTTACTACTTTCATGGGCAGATTCTCACTTTCTTTCACCGTATATTCCTGATTCCATCACCTCTTTAAGATCGAACCGTACAATTGACTATGCTTTTTCATGTGGCTTCTCTGTTTCTATTCAAACGTATGAAGGTGTAGTTTCTAGCGATCATAAACCTCTTCTTTCTGTTATACCAATAAAATCTAAAGAAAGTGTTCTTGCACGTAATATTCATTGGAAAGTTTTTTCGTTGTTCAGTGAGTATGTTTATCCATTTTGGGAAAAAAATTGGTGCTTAAATAGCGTAAACAATGTGTACAACGATTATGTATCTTTTCTCTCTCTTCTTATCTCACGTTGCACTATATTCTTCCCAATTAACAAATATCGTATTGCTATTCCACAAGCTCTACGAGCTTATATGTCCCACACACGTGCGTTAGCATATAGGCAAAAAAGAACAGGCGATGAAGTATTAAAGATCATAGTTAAACTTAGAAGAAAAATGGCTAAAAAAGAACTTAAAGTCTTTTTATTTAATCAACTATCTTCTTCTTTATCAGCACGTAATACTTCTTCACATCTTTCTGTTTCTTTTTGGTCTCGTACAAAGAAGTTTATGAAATCTACATCTTCTTCTCTACATGGTTTTATTCTTCCCAACGGTGAGATAGTAAAAGAAGTGGAGAAAATGTGTGAATTGAGTGCGGATCATTTTGAGAACTTGTTTAAAGAGTCCGAAAACATTTATAGACCGCATCCATACACCGATGCACCTGAAATACGATGGGAGAATTATGAAGAAGAAATTCCACCAGTCATAATTGAAGAAGTGCTGGAGGTAGTTATGGGACGTAAAAAGAAAAAATCCTGTGACGCGCATGGTCTTTCTAACTTTATGTTCAACTTTTTACCAATTGATTATTGGTCTCTACTACTTAGAATCTTTAATTTATCTTTCGTTAGTAATGTTGTACCTGATCTATGGAATGAAACCAGAATTCTGCTTTTAGCTAAAAAAGAATCCATTTGTGAAGTTTCTGCCACCCGTCCTATTTCTCTGCTCGATGTATTCTTAAAAGTGAATGAAAAATTGTTTTTAACTCGTTTCTCTAATGTGTTAGAACGTAGAGGTCTACTACCAGATACACAATCTGGGTTTCGGGCCAAGTTTCGGCTCCAAACACGAGTGCTACTATTTCTTGAACAAGTTTCAAGTCTCATGGCTAATAGCTCGCCAGTGGCGACGGTCTTTATAGATTTCAAAGCTGCTTTTGACCAACTTTGGTTCGATGGGTGCATCGGAAAATTACAGAGCATGGGACTTCCAAGGGTGTATCTTATGTGGATAAATACTTGGTTAAGAGGAAGACGAGCGTATATTGAAATAGGTGGCAAAAAATCAAGGTGGTTTAATATATCGAGAGGGTGTCCTCAAGGATCTATACTTTCACCTACGTTATTTATTACTTATCACGCCGATATGGGCGATTTTCTTTCTTTTTGTCTTAGTTACTCTTTCGCTGATGATTTAGCAGCAGTTTTAGCGGGCAGTATCGGCATGAAGTATTCAAATCAATGTTTAGACCTTGAACGTAAACTACAATTATTCTTTGAACACCTTGAGTTTTATTCAGTGCTAACTTTGCAACCCATAAACTATATAAAAACTGAAGCACTTTGGTCGGCTAGGGCCATAGGTAGCCCAAAATTCGATATTTCCTACGAGGGAAACAAAATACCATGGGTAAAGGAATTTAAATATCTTGGTTACTTGATTACACCAAAACTTGGTTTTGGTACCTTAATTAGAAAAAGTATGATGAAAATTAGACAACGTATCAGTATGATAAATTCTTTTCGTTTTTCTGGTACTACTTCCCCCGCGTTAAGAAAAGCGTTATTTCTCTCTTATGTTCTTCCTTTGTTTACTTGGTTGTTTCCTCTCTTTCCATTATTTACAGTTAAGCAACAAAATGATTTAAATCACTTTTATTATACAAGTCTAAAACGAGTGTTTTTTTGTTTGCAGTGGCGCGACAACTTCTTTTCTTACGCACTCGATGAAATATCATTAGAGGACAGATGTTTGAGATATTGGAACAAGTATCTATTAGCATTATCGGACAGCACGGATGGGGAGTTAATGTTTGAGCAAGCGAACTTAAATGTGTTTAGAAAAGTCTGGCTGCAAGGTGATAATAGTATAAAGGGAATTTTCAGATCAAGACGATATGTAGAACATGTTTCATTGTTGGAGTCATGTATCTCCTGGTGTGCGGGTATACCCTTGAACGAATCGATTTTACATTATAATATTGAAGACGTAATGACCCTCAGTGACTTTCCAGAGACTTTTTGACAGTGCTTACATTATTGTGTTTCTTTAAACGTGTTAGTAAAGTAATAAATTGTTTTTGTTGTCTATTTGTATTAAAATCTTATATGTTAGTTGATGTGTTATCAATTTTTTGATGATTCTCTCGCAGCGTGGTACACATATCTGATTTCACTTTCATTCTCACTTTCTTTACTTCATATTTTTTCTTCATATCTGTACTTCTCACCTCGGTACTGTAAGGACTTTATAAAGTCGTCAGTTTCTTGCTAATAAAAAAAAAAAAAAAAAAAAAAAATCTTAGCACCAATAATCAATAAAGATTCTACTCTTGACCTTCTCTATAAACATATTCTAGTCCAGTACTAATTCTGAACAAGGCTGTGAGTGTGTAAGTGGAGACAAGACTTACATTCACACTCACAATTACAGTCAAACCACCTACACTTACATCCATTGATTACAAGGCTTCATGACTAAGAAAACATATGAAGTGAATAATGGAAAATTCTACTTCAGGCAATCGTTCGAATGATAATGATTGAGGTTTACGTAAAATAAAGCATCTAATTCGCTAAAATGAATTAACATATGAAAGATTTTACTAAATCGAATCTCTATAAGAGGGTGTGGATGCGAGTGTGATTGAGAATGCGGATGAAAAGGACATCCACACCCACCAACACCCACAGCCTTTATTGTGAAGTGTGCATCCTCTCTTCGTCTACAGATAGGTCCATACTCTAAACCCATACTTTACGCTAGTGATGGGTGCAGCCAACAGTTTAGTTTCCGGCCTTAACTTCTGGTTTCGCGTTTGGTGTGGGCGTGGGTCTTGTTTTCATTCACAATTACCGGTACCCACACCAAACGCGAAATCAGAAGCTGAGCTCGGAATCTAAACTGTTGGCGGCACTCATCACTAGTGTGAAGTATGGACTTAGGGTATAGATCTATCTGTAGTTGAAGAGAACTTGCACACTTCACAATAAATAATGTCTCTTTTCAGAAGGCGATTCGTTTTTAATTAAGAGATATACTGTACTATTCCATCACTCCTATTCGATTCGACAACACGAACACATTTTTAGACAATTAAGATAAATTGTTTAAAAACAAGAAAATGCACTTTAATCTACTTTTGCTGATTAGAAATTACATATTATCTTACACTTGAACACAAAACATAATAGCATATTCAATTGTCATGAACGAAAATTGTAGGTTTAGTGTTTTTTTATGTAAAAACACTAGTGATTTGTATAGTGGGCAAAAAGAACAAAAAATAACGTCGTAGATGACGCATGGAATATATTGACCACTGCAACGGTTGATGCTAGAATAGGACACAATACTCATGCAGACACAAATTTATGGCGATGCATTTGATTGTATTCATGCAATTCGATATGTCTTTTTTTCTATTCTACTTCCTATGAAATTTTATTTATTTTTCACAATGAAACATTGAATAATTACAAAGGTAATTGATTATGTATGTTGAACTACTAGAATGTGTTCGTATACGAGACAAAATTCATGGATGTGGTTTTAAAATCATTTTGAACCATTGATTAATAAAAAGAATGACAGGTACGATAACAGATAATGTGAGTATTGATCCAGGTATTAAAAGATACATGATAACATCAGTGAGAGCCAGAGTTACATCTGGTTTGTGTTGGAGTGGTCGTCGTCGAATATTATTCAGATCAACCAAGCATAAATATGTACTGTTTATCTAGAAACGACAGAAAACATATATAGATTGATATAAAGTTAATAATATTTGTATATTTATCCTGACCAAATTTGGTTTGAGTGGTACAGGTACCGACCATTCTTCAAATGATTGTTTTATATTGTTTCCATTTGAAATTACTTCCTAAGAAATTAGAAATGTACTATTGATTATCATCAATGAAGAATTTTGCATTTCTTGAGGATGTGACACGACATCATCGATACGACAGATTATTTGCAATGAGAAATCTTTTGCATCAAGTTCATATTGACGATAAGTTGAATATTTGTCTATATTTGAAATGATAACGGCGAAACAAAGAAATACTATAAATATGCAGATGTCAAAACGAGTTATTTTCACTATGTCTTTTGCAGTAGAAATGGAGGATGTCATTTTTATAGAATTTTCTATAGACTGACCATTTTTAACCATGTTTTCTATTTTAAAGAGAAAATAAACAAATACAGCAATATCGACGCCGTAAGAAACTGAATAATTTTTTCTTTTTCGGTCATATAAAGCATGTTTATTGAGTCAGAGGTCATCATATAAAACGAAATCATGGTCTAAACAATATTTGAAAATGAATTGTTGATTGACTAAAAGAGGTTATATATACATTTCTGCCTAAGTAGAAAATAACGAACGATATTAGTTCTATATTTAAAATTGTTTTCTTTTTTGAAAGACTTTCTTTCGTCTATTTTCACTTTAGACAATAAGACAATTTTAATCGATTGAAATACGAACATTTGAGAATGGAATCATACTTGCGTAACAACACAGTTATTACAAATAAATAAGTACACTGAATCGTACTCGACGTTTAGGCATTCGTGAGATTTCAAACAAAGCGATTTGATTTTTTTTGTAGCCTATTCATAATACCTTCCACATCAACGATTGATCACGCAGGCTTTTTTTTAATCATAGGAACATCTCAGTTAAAGTCTATTACCTTTTTTCTGGTGAAAGAAAAACACTATGCCAATTCATATGAATTGCTATTCTTGGAGCTCTTTTCAAATGCACCATACACACTTATTCGTCGTTAAGTTTTTGATGAAAAAAGAACAAAGAATAGTTTTAGTAGATAAAGAGTTACAAAGCAGAGTCGTTGTTTCTTATCGACCTATGAATCACAAAAAACGCTTGGAAAAAAGATAATTCATTTTTATTGAACTTTGTCGATCACTCATAGGCTTCGATATACAATTCTCTTATGAACTGATGCATCCAATAAAGCAAGTATAATTATTGAAATTTCATGCAACATAGATTTTTGAAAATAATAATTTCAATGTGATTACAATTTGGATTCAATTGAAATATTTATGGGACTCGTTAATTTTATTTTTCAAAAGAGACAATAACATGACATTAATGGAATTATCAGGATATCTATTGAGTAAAGTCGACTTGCATTATTTCAACAATATGAAATTATTCAATAGATTCCTTATGAATCACCTCATATCTTATATTTCATTGAGGTTATTAATCATTACACTTGATCATAACTTGGTATCATTTGTTTATTTTCAAAAAAAAGCACAGTTACTAGTATAATTCCTGGAAGATTATAATACGAAAATGCGATGTAGCTGCTATTAGTAGTCACAGAAATATTGTTTTATTGTATCTACTCTCAGAGACATTTCTTCATCATCGTTCTAATTAATTCTCCAAAAACGCAATAAAGTAGCGCATCTATTAAAACGTGACGTTATTCATAAAAAGTCTTTAAGCATTATATGAGCAACGTCTGTTACGATTTGTGACGGAGACGAAAGATGTTGCTAAAGTGTAGCTATCACGCTTAGATATGTGCGGGACCAAGGTTTTTTTCAGAGGTGCAGAATCTACCCGTGTGCGCGTGCGGCCGTACGGGGAAATTTTTGAAAATTTATTAGCATCTGGGGAAATTTTTTGGAAAATATTTTTCCCTCGTAGGAAAATAATTTTCCCTCGTAGGAAAATAATTTTCCCTCGTAGGAAACTATTTTCCCCTCGTAGGAAAATAACTTTCCCTCGTAAGAAAAATCTTACAGTTTTCCAAACAAATCTTAGTTTATTTATATATGCATCAATAAGATCTTGCATCTTTTTTCTTTCTTTTATTTTTGTTAAACTTTTAAAAAGAATCATCCGTGTCTTTCTCGTAGTGCCAATGTCGTCTATTTTTGTTTACGATGATCCTGCATCTTACTACTTTTCCTTCGCTCTTTCTCTTTGTGCGAATTTATGACACAAAACACACTATTTGTTTTCTCCTCTTTTCATTTTGTTCTTTTCTCTAATGCGATGTCACTACTTACCGTCTTTTCTCTGTCGGTACATATTATTTGTTATTGTGTGCACGTATGCGTACACGACCGCTAGAATGACTAATATATAGTCACACAGTAGATGATGAACAAGATGATCCTTATTCACTGGCAAATCCTTTCTCGTCTCTCATTTTTGTTTTATCTATTTTTTTTTAGACCTTTAGCATATCTGAATAATAAAAATGTACCCAAGTAAACAGCAGGTATCATGTTTCTACTGTGAATGGGTCGGACGAAAAGATAAAGCAAAAGAACATTGGAAAAAAAAACATCCTGAAGAAACATTTAAATTAAAGATTTCAGAAAACAGCTTGACAAAATATCATTTTCGAAAAGAAACAACTGAAAAAACAAGAACAATTACCAGTGATGATGATGGCTCTGATAAAAATGAAGAACAAGAAGAACCAAATGTCATTCATTTGTCTCCATGCATACCAGTCTCAACAGCAACAACAACTAATGCTGTCATTTCACCTTCAATATCTATTTTAGGTACATCATCGATTCCAAGTACACCAGCAAATCTAAGCACATTATCAAGTCCAACAAAAAATTTTAAATCACCGAATTCTATACAAGATCAATTAGCATCGATGGCAAAACAACTTTCAAAAATAACTAATGCTATTGAAAATATTCATTTAGAAAAA